ATAATAATAATAATATAATAATAATAATAATAATAATAATAATAATAATAATAATAATAATAATAATAATAATAATAATAATAATCTTCTATAATAATATAAAATAACATGGTGTAGCTTTTGTTTCCCTACAATCAGACATTTAATGATTTCATACTCAGTTTCTCTAAACAATAATATGTAAATTAATAATTAACAATTAGTAATTATAATGTGAAAATTTTGATTTTTAAAGCTACACTATCAATTAATGTTTTTGCTTATTGGATGTTTACAAAAGATTGATCGGTAACATTTTTAGTGTTCCTCAATTGCTTGGATCCTTTGTAATTATATTCTATAAACACAAATACCTAACAAAATATTTATATATCTAATGACAAGTATTTTTGTTAATAAGAAGTGATCCCAACTTTATCGAACTTTGTGCTCTGAAAAATCCATTCCAAATTTTTACCATATGTAAATCCGAGTTAGTTAAAACTATTCATTAGATTCCTGCTGTCATCTAATGACATAGTTAAACATATAACATATGCATCTCGTGCAACGCACGGGTAAAGAATCTAGTTTCATATATTGTAGCATTTGATCGCATAATAAGATGCAAAATTATGATGCACATATTTGTTTAATTGATGATGATGACGACCATCCGGCTAGCTTGTATGGGTCCTTATCCGGTATGATTTTGAGAACATAGGTCAAAAGACTCAAAACTTCATCCGAAACAATTTATTGTGTACAAGTATTTTATAACATGGTATAGTTATCGAAATTGTTACGAAACCATAGTTGATTTACCTGCAGAAACAAATGAGCGTATGGAGCTTTACCTCATCTCCAATCATCCATTTTCATTGCAAAGTATCAGAGTGTAAAATAGGTGACTAAGCAAGAATGAGAGGCACAATATAGTACCTCAATTTTAACTTGCAAAGTACTGATGTAAATACTACGGAGGATATTGTAATTGCAATTGAATTCAATAGTATAAGTATTATCATAAAATTGTTCACCCTGGTGACACCCTGCATAAATCGGCAAATACAAATGGGATAAGTGCATCCTATCCCGTTTTTAATTAGATATAATTACTCCAAATTTTTAATGTATATGAATTAGTATATACTTATAATCTCACCCTTCACTCAAAAATTTCTGCGTTTGTTGCTGCTTAGAGTCTATCTATGGATCACTTCAATTTAATTTCATCCAATAAAGAATAATAGTGTCTTTACCTTATTCTCAAAAGATTTATAATGTGAGGATTTATGTTGTTGCATAGTGAATATAAATTGTTGAGCCCATGTTGGAGGGGCTAGGAAAAAAAAAGGATGACACCCCATCCCTGAGGGCCCCCCAACACCGACCGGACGGCACGATAGGAGGATGTAAATTGGATTATAATCACAATCAGACAGATAGAGAGTGGGACTCTTTCCCCGGTATTTACAGATACCCTATGCATTTTTCAGCATAGTAAACCCCTCATCGTAATTGCCGGGATTCGAACCCGAGACCTAATTCTTGTGGCACTCCCTTGCTACCAGTTGAGCTACGCCCACGGGTTTAGAGGGGCTAGAAGATGGATGAGATAGCACGTATCTTTTTCCCACTCAAATCATTTCCTATTCCCTACAAGAAGTGGAGCATTCACAAAGTTACTTACATGTCAAAAGAGTGTGTGATGGAGTCGGGATAGGACAATAGCGCGTATGGTGCCCCTCCCAAATCTATTGAAGGGATGTCACGATGCAGATTTTTAGCACTTCGTTTGGCATTTTTTAGAGACGAAATCACGAAATCATTGACATTGAAAATCATCATCAAATTCTGATCTGGAATTGTTTCATACCAATAATACAACTTTCAGTTAGCCAACAACTATAATTGGCTGCTCTAAACAGGATCATGTAATAAATTAGGATTAGATCAGACAAATGGAAAATGTTTCGGTCTAATTTAATAATAATAAAAACAGATCAAACAAAAGCTCTCTCATTAGATCATAATATTGACATCATATCGTATCTCTGGCTGAATTAGCAGTCAGACGAGGAAAGATTGAAAAAAATCATAAAAAACAAACTAAATTGTACTCTGTATGTTATACGGAGTATTTCACAAGATACATAGATCTTGTTTGGTAACCTTATTTTTCGCCTTATCATGCTTTTCAATCAATTTTTTCACCATACACGTAATTTTTTATTTCGGCGCTGAATTTTGAAATAATAAGAAAAGTAAGGTTAAAGTTACTTTTCTGGCTGTATTTCCTGAGGTTATTGTAGAGAATCATTTTAACTATTTTTAATATAAGTTTTTCTTTATTTTATTAATAAAACATATTTTAATTATAATTTTTCATAAGTCAGCAAAATCAACCAACTCAACCACTTCAGCTAGAACTTCAAAAATTTGAACAGAATCAACCAATACAAAAAATTATGATAGCAATGGCTTCATAGTCTACATTGCTATCGTTATTCTTTATTCACAGCACTGCATGTAGTTTTTTATTTATTTCAATCACGACTGTTTATTGAATTCTTAGTTTTTTAATCCATTTTGATCTAATCTGGATTCAGAATTTCAGATAGCGCATGACATGATATATACGGAGTATTGAATAACTTAATCCTATCCAATCAACATTTTTTAAATCCATTTTGACATTTTATTAGCTTAACCCTCATTTTAGCAACATTTTACTACATTCGTTTGAATTAACTTAATGATATCTAACCAAAATTTTTTGAATAGAAAAGGCTTATGTTAATATATTCGATTGATGTTCTCAATCCGGTCATAGGACATGAGATTAAACATACATCCATTCGCCCTTAAATGATCACAATGACTCACTAATGATGAAGCGGGTAATAAGAACCAACTTACCTGATTCTTGCCTGCTGCTAACAATCAACACAAAACACACTTCATAATCAACGCAAAACAGACTCGAGTTCTATCATATTCAAGTGACTCGAGTTCGTGAGACGGTTTGTGAGCCTTTGTGCATATACGCATATTTAATATGTGTGTGTTTGACTGTTTGTTGGAGAGTTCAAATAAAAAGTATTGCATCCGAACAAAGTGCGAACGATTGCACTTTTTCCTCGCCACATTTTTTTTTATCAAATATAGTACATCATTTTGAGGCATTTGATCTGAAAATGAATGCACGAGATTTGTTCTCGCTTTGTATGTGAAGACCTCTTTGTATTTGAACTTTTCCTAATAATTATAAAGTACGTAGTATAATTTATTGATATTAAAATAAAGATTAAAAATGTTTGTGAAGGAGAAAGGACGTAAAAGTGAGAACGATCAAGTACAAATATTATACGTAGTACGTGGTACTCCGTATTATTTATTTGATGTGTGTATAAAGGTAATATTAATAATTTGAAAAATGTAAATTTTATTTTTAGCTGGAATTCGAGCTTAATTGAGTTAGAGCATCATATTCCAGGTTAAACCTTTAAAAATTAATTAGCAAAACTTGATCCGAGCTCGAACCGAGTCCGAGTTGAGCTCGAGTCAAGCTCGGTTCGAGTTGGAGTCCGAATTATTTAGCTCGTCCAAGTTCAAGCTCGAAATCGTGAATTTTTATCAAACTCAAACTCAAGCATACTCATACTCCTGTTCGAGATGGGCTAGACTCGTTTGCACCCCTAAGTTTATAAATCTACATTGAATAGACCAAACAAATTAGGGAAACTATAATACATAGTAAAAATCTGACATATAGTGTGATAACTAAATAAACTAAAAATAAAAACGTGGAAGAAGATATCTAACCAACAATGTAATCCGAGTCTGCTAAGTATTCATTTTTAAAAAAATCTAAGTTCACCATAGAATTTATCAAATTTACATATGCTTTACTAAAAAACTACAGTTATGTTTTGTGTGGTTATTCGGAATTCCAATTTTTTTAACGATTTAATTTTGTATTTGCACATCTGTCTCAAAATTAGAGTACATATGATCGAAGTATTAACCACTCGGGACGACTAATAGGGAAAAATGGAAAATAAAATCATACCCTCACAACATATATAAAGAACAATTACTATCGGAGTTAGAGGACGTAACTCATCTGGTAGGAAGGCCCGAAGGAGGTGCCACAAGAGAGAGGCATCGGGTTCAACTTCAAACAATATCTTGAGATGAAGCCTCACTCCCTTTCCATCAGAATGAAATTCATCCTCCAAATAACTGTTCGATCGATTCTGGGTATCTGACATCCGGATGTAGGTGTCATCCTTTTTATAAAGAACAATTAGTGTAGGTCAAAACAAATCCATTTTTTGGTCCCAGAAGGCCGCCCAACTTGCCCTCCCAAGGACCGCCACTATGGAACGGCGTACGTGGCCTCCCTGTTGAGTTAACCGTTTTAGAAAATGCTTTTGAAAAGCTATTCGTAAAAAGTGACTTTAAGAAATGAGGTGACAGAGTGCTTCAGAAAGATGTGTTTGTTTGACAAGTTTTGTTGGAAAAGTGAATATTTGAAACTTAAATGCCTTTAATTGGGAATATACAAAGCCATCCATTAGTGACTTAGCTTCTAGGACATTTCTCGTGGGATATAGCTGAGTTTTACTACGCCGGTACAATATATTATTATTTTTATGGTGTTTAAATTTGACGTGGCCCAAATTAAATGCTTTAATTACTTGTAATATTAGATTAGATGTTGTAAATTTGGTATAGTTACGTTGCTTTAATATAAGTTAGATCTTGTCACATTAAGTATATATTCTTGTTGTATGACCCTTTTCAATTTAATCAAAAGTTAATTTAACTTTGGAACCTTAAAAGTAATCAACGGGCATGTGAACCATGTGAACATGACATCAAAATAGAAGATCATGAGGAGTGCAAGCCAAGTCATGAAGCTAATTACCACATCATCAAATAAAGACAATAATCGAACAAGTAAAGAAAAGAATTCCCATCATACACGTCTGGCCTATAAAACCTTCTTTCCCACTTCTTTCTTGCCTTCCTGCCGCAAAAACCTCCTATTTTATTCATTGCCGGCCTTCATTTTCAGCACTATATTGCACGTAATGAACGTTGTTCCTAGAAGAATCACCATTGTTATACAACTTCTTGGGTTCTATCTCTTGATTCACGGTACAACTATGTGCATTTGCCCTCATACTATTTTGCAAATTATGAGGAAACAGGAAACGAGAAACGTCAACTTTTGCTCAAAAAACGCTGATTTGAAGAGTTTTCATAGAGTTTCAGAAACGGAAACGTACTCTTTTCTGAGAGTTTCCGTGCTACATAGCCCATAGTAGTATATGATATGCAACTCCTAGTTTGTGTTAATAATTATAAATTTATAACAACATTTATTCAAATAATAAAAAACTTGAGTTTTTCAAAATAAGAATAAACAGGTTTTGAAATTCCAAAATATGATTGTTATATTTTTTTCTGAAGTAGGAGCCGTTACTGACATGATTGAAATGTATTGTCAGTAATGACTATAAATACTACTACGCATTATGTTAATGCTAGTACTGCAACAATTTTGACAATAATAATGACTCCAACATGACAGTAATATATACTCTCAGGTTATTTTTATTTCGGGAACTTTCCCGAACTATATTGTTATATGCTTTGCTCTTGGATGTTGTAGGTTTACATAGAAAAGTGGAAGGCCTTGGAATCAACTATGGTCAACTTGGGGATAATTTGCTGCCGCCGGCGAGAGTTGTTCAACTCTTACAAGCTTGTAAGTTTACGAAGGTAAGAATCTATGACACCAACCCTCAAATCTTGACGGCATTCGCAAACACCGGCATTGAGCTGATCGTGACGGTGGAGAACGCGAAGCTGGCCGGATTAAGCGCCGACGCGCAACAAGCCAGCCAGTGGGTGGCCGCCAACATTCAGCCGTATTTCCCCGCCACCAGAATCACCGGAATCGCCGTCGGCAACGAGGTCATCACCGCCGAGGACACCACATCTATGGGCTACCTCGTACCTGCAATGCGCAACATCCATGCCGCTCTAGTAGCACTAGGATTTGATCCTTACATTAAGGTATTCGATAATCTAGTCATCAAGCATTTATTTGAAAAAAGTTATATTTGTGCACCACAAAAAGTGTAAACATTTCCTAATTGGATGTTTACACAACTTACTCGTTTAAAATCATCTTACTATAATATGCATCACGCACATGTGGCAGAAAGATAGTCACATAAACATTAGCAAATAAAGTGTTTCTTCTCTTATTTGAATAAGTTTGTACAATTTTGGTAAGTTTTTCTCTGCAATGTCAACCACAATGTCAACATATAAATGATCACCTTCTTGACATTGTGAAGAAAAACTTACCAAAATTGTATAAACTATTCAAATAAGGAGAGATAATTTATTTGCTACTCCGTAATATTTATGTACGTAGTTATCTCTCATGCCACGTATGCATCATGCACATTGTAGCATTCGAAATGCTCTAATAACCTCCGTCCCCAAATCAACTTCCCACTTTTCTTCTTTGGTTATCCCAAAATAAACTTCTCATTTTCATAAATATCAAAACTTTCTACTAAAATGTGCTCAAGTAAAAGTGATAAGTTGTTTTCGGGACGGAGGGAGTATATTTGTACACAACAAAATGTGTACACTTATTGTATGCACCTAATTGCATGTTTACACAACTAATTAACTCGTTTTAAAAAGTAAGTATCTACTACGTATGAATGTAGGTTTGTGTACACTTTTAATTTAGTACACCAAGAATTCCTCTATTTAAATTATTTAGCTGTCTTATACGATAGTACATATTGCTCCGTACGTAATTTGGTACCTGTAGGTGTAGGTCTGATTCATCGAGTAGCTACGGCCGGCCATGCCATTCTTCGCAATGAAAGAAAACCCCATTCATATCGAGTAGTAATTATGTAATCTTTTTGGTCAATTGAGTATTTTATTGAAAATTACTTATAATAATACATATAAAAATGATATGGGAATGTTTTTGATTGAAAAAAATATTAAAATTATAACACTTATAAGATTTTATTATAACTTTAGTCGTCTTGAGTTTTATCAAATCTGAAAAGTTATAGATGACAAAAGTTTAATTTAAATGAGAAACGTGGTAACATGTAAATAGCTTATACTTATTTCATGTATAAATGTAACTTTTTTTCGTTTGTCTTAACTCTTGCATAACATGTTAAGGCCTACGGTAGCGGTATATAATCCCTAACCTAATTAAGAGAATTGAGGCCGTGTATAGCTAGATCAGATGTAGATATGTATGTTGAGTTATAAACTTATAATTATGTGTTTGGTAATTAAAGGATCTAATGATTAACGGGCCTAGAAGATTTTCTATTCCTTAATCCTTTTCTCCCCATTACAAATTTGTTAAAAAACGTTAAACTTGACTTGATTGTTATTATGCAAAGTTATTTGGAATGCGGAGTATTATTGTAGTATATATATACTATATAGCTTAGGTCAATAATCTTTGATAGTTTGTAATTAACTTTCCTTGTTTGTGAAGAAGAGCGGATATATATAAGACCTGATTGAGGCATTGAGCTGATATCATTTTCTTGGTGATTTGTTTATCACGTAGAATATGTGCCTGAGTTGAGAAAATTTTGGGAACATGCCATCCTCCGACGAAGCCGTCATCCTCCGACGAAGCCACCGCCATCCTCCACCATCTCGCTGGAGGTGTGCATGTTTCCAAAATTCTCTCTGTCTTCCATTTCAAATTCACAAAACATAAAGTACTTACATATACATTGAGTTAACACTTTGATCAAACACAGTTCTTAGTGGTTTCAACATTTGAAATGACACAAAAAAGTTAACATAAATGATAATTCAATAAGTGACATTATTTATGTAAAAGCCTCTACTTTGTCTTACACAAAACACATAACATTAGTGGCACTCTCACATCAAACCGGATTCATTCATTTTCACTTGTACTTGTCACCTTATCAAAAATCACATCATCTTGCTTATACTCCGTGAATAATTCATCATTCCTATCTTCCATTTGAATGAAATTATATAATGTGCAACAACCTATGGGAATTTGAACCTGTCATCTCAATTGGTATCCATGTATTAAGTTTAAGATGTGAAACCTTTCTGTTAGTACTCTGAAATAACTCTCGATCACATTACGCAATGTTGAATGGTGAGGGTTAAATAGAGCTTGCTTACTGCGTATTCTGCCACGGTACGGGGCTAAAAAACCCAGGAACATTTGGATAGTCGGCATCAACAACATAGTAATAACCTACAACTAAGTCAATAACGATAACAAATTAGCGCTTCATTAAAGTTAATTGAACTTATAACTTTATTAGCACAATTTGCAAAATTAAGTTATTACCGGTCGTTGGTGACATTGGTAACACATTTTCACTTCTCGAAATTGCATCTAAGAACACTCGAGAGTCATTGGATGTTGTATAACAACCTATATATACATACATAAACAACATGTCATGACTACACGCTCACATGACATTTCGAGTACCTTCAATGACACCACAATATTACTATTATTATTATTATTTGAGAGAATTAATATTATTATTTGAGAGAATTATTATTATTACTATAATAATAATTATTTTATTGTTATTATACTCCGGCCGTACGTAACATGGTTGGATGCATGTATGCTTGATAATGGATCAGGTGTCGTCCCCACATTCCCTAGCGGTTATGGGAAGTTCATACCCGCCGTCAGGCGGGCGGTTCAAGCCGGAGCTAGCGACAGTGATGACACAATTTATACAGTTCTTGGTGGATACACAATCGCCGTTCTGGATCAACGCTTACCCGTATTTTGCGTACAAAGACTCCCCCGACAAAATCTCCCTTGATTACGTTCTGTTCAATGCCGCCGCCGCAGTGACGGTGGACCCCGTCACAAACTTGCAGTACAACAACATGCTATACGCGCAGGTAGGTGCAGGGGTGGAGACAGGGAGGCTGGCAGGGCCTCGGCCCCAAAAATAAAAAAAAATTGGTTATATGTACATGCATAAGTTTTATATGTAGTGAAAATTATAGTGATATTTTAAGTTTTGACCCCCAATAAATTTGTTAAGCTCCGGCCTCAGTAACCTGACATTTTTTGTTCCACCATTGCGCAGGTGGACGCGGTCCTCGCCGCCATTTACATGTTGGGGTTCAACCGCGTGGAGGTGAGGGTGTCGGAGACGGGGTGGCCATCCGCCGGCGACGCCAACGAAGTCGGCGCAACCCCTCAGAATGCGCTGACGTACAACCGGAACCTGGTGAGAAGGCAAATGTTGAACGAAGGGACGCCGTTGAGGCCTGGCATGCGACTGGAGATATATCTTTTCGCTTTGTTTAATGAAGATTCAAAGCCTGGGCCCACCTCAGAGCGGAACTACGGATTGTTTTTGCCCAATGGAGTCGCCGCTTATGATATCGGCCTACTCACCACCACTTCCCCTTCATCTGCCACAATTTCTCTATCGTCGACTGCTGCTCCCATTAAGGTATAGTAAGTCAATGTAGGAATGAGGAAATTGAATATACTGTCTATCTATCCGGAAAAAGATAGTCAAATTGACTTTTCTTAGTCAACGAGTCAATGATAATCAACTTTGAGTATGATATTTTCCGTAGTATCAAAAGAGGAAAAGTGGTTTATACATAGATAAAATGCAGAAATAGAACCACTAATGTTCCTAAAATATCATACAGAGTAGGATGTATTTAACCCTAATCAGAGAAGTTTTATATTTTTAATATAATCAAATAAGTTATATTTCGACAATAGAACATAGCAATTACTATTTGTGCGTTTTATCTATGTTTAGTTCAATTTGAAATTATCTATGTTTAGTTCAATTTGAAATCATTTCCTAATAAAATTGAAATAATTACAGTTAATCGGTTTTTGACCTGCAATAGCAGATTTTTGTACAGAGTATTTTTTTAAGAAAATGTTAAAATGCAAAGAACTCTCTCAAAAAATGTTAAAATGCAAAGAACTTTAAATAAAAGCTGTGGACAATTTTAGAATATCAAATATGTATTTTTATGTCTCAAACAGTCAAACCTGAATTATGTGTACATTCTACAATATACATCTTTTTAAAAGTGACACCATATTACATTTTAATTTTATACTCCCTCCACTCTTAAATAAAGTTCTCACTTTCCTTTTTAAGTAAGTCCAAAAAAAAGTTTCCACTTATATACTCCGTATTTTTAACTAGTTTTTTGATATAAAGTTAACCTTAAATTGACAGTAATTATTGTTATAAACTGCAGGTAGAGCACATGAAGTACCAAAGATTTATGTACATGATGATCATTGTATTGTTGTTGGGGTGGCAAGTTTTGTGAGAGGCCGGACAACATTAAAGCAATTAGTTTTTATTTAATCCAATTTAGCATGGGGAGTATATTAAAACCAAAGTTACGTTACACTTTCATAGGTTAAAAAAACGTGCGATGCAACTCCCCGCTCAAAAACGGCAACTAAATCTTCATAGGTTCGTGGATGAAAGCCAAGGAGAACACAAATGTCACGCTACATTATTCTTGTAATTAGTTTTGGAAACTAATTAAATCCATTTTAACTCTTACATATATGAATTATGTATATAAGGATTAGGATGTACGTAAATCTTTGTTTAACTTGTTTTCTGATTACATTAGCTTTCATCGGTAACTTATAAATGTCATAGCTCAATCTCTCTCATTCACGCTTTGATCATGATTTAAATTACTCCAAAATAGCCACTGTGTTTATGTTATTTACAACTTTCATTAATTTCAATTAATCTCAACTCCATTGTTTCAATTCTTTTAGCATCGCATCCACTCAAAATATCATATATTTAGTTTAGAAGAAATTGTCCTAAATAGGATTCAAATTATTCTGGAATTTCAAAATATGAGTACTGTATACTATTCCATTATTTAATAGGAATAGCTAATGTCATGGTTTGGAGTATATATACTACGGAGTACCATAAACTTTCAAGAGAGCAGTAACATACTTGTGATACTTCTTTGTTTTTTTAAGAAAGGGGCTTAGATTGATACCATAGCATTCAGATAGGGGTTAAAATAACAAAAGAAACACATGCAACCATCAGCCCTTGAACCAGACTCAGAGTTAATCACCTTTGACAAAGCAATATAACTCGCTGATCCTAACTTGGGCATAATTGAGCCAAAGACGGTTACCACATACCGCTCGTCACCCAATCCTAATGCAAGAGTCTTACAGTAAGAAATAAAATAAAAATAAATGACGACACGCTTAACCTGGAAATTAAAGTGCAAAACAACAAAAAAATAAACATCATAACTTGTTCTCTTGAGCAGGAATACCAGTCGCACGTCCAGCGGGTCTAGAAGCCTGGAACCGCCGCCTCCCCATTTTTTGGTCTGTCCAGGGACATGCTCCCGCCTCCTTCTTCATCGAAATTCAGTTCGTTGTCCTCCTCTTCAATAACCATCTTCTTGAAGTGATTCAGGGTTGGTTTGCAACTGCTTTTAAAAAAGCACTTCTCAACTTTTGGCTTTAAAAAGCACTTATTTTCCCAAACACTACAACATTTATTTTTTCTCGGCTTCCGCGTCAAAAGTGTTTTTACTTTTTCTATTACACAAAAAGCACTTATTTTACCAAACACTACCCACTTTTACTTTTCAAAATCACTTTTTTCTCAAACACTATCAACTTTTATTTAATCACATCTCCCCATTTCATTAAAAAAAGCACTTTTTTAAAAGTAGAAGCTGTTGCAAACAGACCCTCACATTATCGTCCATTAAAGCCTTCAGAGTGTTGACGAAACCATTGTCGTGCGGTCGATTTGGAAACAACGCTGAGACTTTAGCCTTGCCGACTCGATTCCGCAGCACTCTGCCTGCACACCTGCGTCGAACGGAGATCGCGAAATAGCCTTGGATTATCCACCAAGAGTGACGGCTGTTCTTCGGCATTGCCGAAAATGAAAAAAAAAACTACTTGATGTGTGTTTTCTTGCACTTAAAATAGATTGTAATATAGTGGTGTAAGTACGAGTATCGCCTCCACAGGGACGGACAAAAGGGTATCAAAGATTAACTAAATTCAGCAATTAAAAAGAAATAAATAAAAATGCGTCGTGCGAGATTGGTTGCTGGAAAATAAAAAATGAGAATAAAACGATTAAACTAGGGGGTTCTTTCTAATTAATAACGAAGGGAATAGGAATTGATTCCGGGGTAACCAGATTTCTGGCTGATCAGGCCTAATTACATGAAATTGATTTAATTGAGCCTAGCTAATCACTACTAAGTTCTTACCGCTCTCGCGGCGTAGAGTACAATAAATTAGGGGACCGGGCTGATCTCTCATGCGACAGGATCCTAAATTATTGCCAAGACGAGCGAGCTTACAGCCCCTTAATCGCTACTAATCTCTTAGCGAACGATTAAGTGTGTGTGAATGTGTCCTAGAATAAATTAGATCTCTCTTAATTTATTCTACAAGCAATTGTAATTCTAGCGGCCGTTCCAGGTTACAAGAGATATCAGTTAAATTATTCAAACACAAATTAAACGACATTCATGCAATTAAACCGAAAGGAATCTAGCCATACATCATGATCAACCCCTTCATCAATCCTAAATCCCTAATTAAAACTACTCACAATTCATAATTGAAGAATCAATAGAATTGGAATAAAAAGAATTAATTGTCATTAATTAAAAAGGTGGAACTTACAAAGAATCCCAAAAGATTGATGAACAAGGCTGAAAAGCCCTCTAAAATTCGTGCTAGGCACTCTCTCTAAGCTCCCCTCTTCAAAACGGGGGTTTACAGGCTGTTTAAATAGAAAAATCGGGTGAAATTTGAGTTGGAATGGGATTTCTGGAGGCAGGCATGGAGACAGGCACGATCGTGCCTTCGATCGTGCCTCCGGAGCAAAAACACGCATTTTGGGCAGGCACGATCGTGCCTGACTGACAATAGCTTCGTGATGCTTTCTCTTCACGCACGATCGTGCCTAACTTTGAGTGCACGATCGTGCCTACTTAACTTCCGAATTTGGAAATGCTTCCTGCATGAACGTTTTAGATAATGAAGTCCTCTATCCACCCCAATTTGCCGAATGTGATTTGAATTATACAATCAAGAGATATGATCAAAACGGTGGAAGGTATCATTCTGAAATCGCAGCAGAGATCATCTGACTTCATCGTCTGTTTCACCTTCTTTCCCTCTGATTCTCGCAAAGGTGTCTTCATATGATTTGTAGCCCTTGAAGTTAGATTTTACATGGACTTTGAGTCGTGTTCTTTGGATGTTTCTACAAGGAGATATGCTTGAACGATTGACAGAAGGTCATCCTGATCGCCATTTTCAAGCTCTTTTCGTCTTCTTTTGATCCCGTAGCCAATCCTAGAGCTCTTTTGTCATCAAATCTTCATCGTGAACGTTACGGAGACCTCCAATGCTCTCAATTCACTCTCGAATGCTTCTCAACTCATCCTAATTGCTTCTCAAGCGCCGGTGCCGGTCTCAAATTTACTGATTTTGACTCCAAATGATACAAAACTCGAACCAACGTCTGTTAAACATAACTTGAGCTAAAATTGAGACTTGTGACACATTAAAACTAGGAAAACCATCAAAAGCCGATATCAACACACATCAAATGTGTGTCTAAATACGGAATTATCACTATACATCAAAAGCCCTAGAGAAAGAAGCCGAATCTTATGGAGGATACTTGTGATACTTCTATTTAGAGAAAAAAGGCAATGCTCATATTTAAAATTTTACATTGATTAAATTTAAGATCGTGAGACGGGGAGAGAGAGCAAGTTCAAGGGGGAGGCCGGCCAAGGTGCCGGGTAAACATCACCAATGCACAGGAGGATGATTTGCGGCATCCATGGTGGCGAGGCTTTTTGCAACTTTTCTTGCCTTCGAACTAGTTAGAAGATCTGCTTCTCTCTCTCTCTCTCTCTCTCTCTCTCTCTCTCTCTCTCTCTCTCTCTCTCTCTCTCTCTCTCTCTCTCTCTCTCTCTCTCTCTCTCACTCTCTCACTCTCAGTTTCGACCCGAAGAGCGGTTAATTCGAAGTGAAGATTTTTGAGGGTTCATACGAAGGACAAAGGGCTTGCTAAGAGGATTGCACAGGGATTGTCTTATCCCATTGGGTTATATGTTTTGGTTGCGCGAGTTTGTTTCGTGCGAGATAGCAAAGGGGCGAGCGGCAAGAGATTTAGCACAGGAGAGATGAAGGGAGCTTGGCAGGCGACGATCGGCCTAGTATGCTTCCTTGGCGCAAGACTTCATCGGTGTTTCAATGAGGTGGGACAAATGAAGGTTGCTCGGCAGGTAACCAACCGTGTGACGGATGGGAGCAGAGCCTTCTGCGCTAGGGTTTGGAGTCGTGTCTTGTTCGTGTCAACAATCATAGCGATGGTCCGGCCTCCTCATGAACCACCGTCAGGGGTTGAACTAGGTGCTAGGGTTCAAGAAATTTATTTTGTTGTTGTGTTGATATTCTATGTTGTTGGGTATTGTGTTTATTTTCAGTTCTTTATTGTTTTGTATCGTAAGACTGTGAGATTGGATTTGGGTGACAAGAAGTCTGCGGTGATCGTCTTTGGCTCCATTGTGCCCATTAATGGGTCAACGAGTTATATTGCTTCTATTGAGGTGATTAATTCTGAATATGATTCGAGGGTCGGCATTTGTCGATTTAGCCCATATCTGAATGATGTGATATCAATATAAGCCACCTTTCTTTAAAATAAATTACATTGATTGTACTCCTCTTTTGAGAATGTACATATAGTTTTAATGTGACATGTTTACATTTAAATAAAATATTAAAGCCTACTTGTAATGTGTTTTCCTGTTAATGTGTTTTGATGTTGTTGAATATGTAAAATAACCAAGCAGAATACTGTCGTTTGTCTTCTTGTTCCGTCTGATACGCATAAAAAATCCTTAGTTCTCACTTTTCTTTTTGGGCAGTCTCTAAATTAAGTTCACGCTTTAATACTTTCCTTATTTGACAAATTATCTACATCAAAACAGTGTCAAACAGTGTTTAAATAGTGCAAAACAGTGCACACCACAATAAAGTCAAATTTATTTTCTTAATATATGTGAAGTCAAATCAGGAACTTAATTGGGGGACGGAGGGAGTAACTAATTAGTTTCATGGTAACATTTTTGAAAAAACCTTTCTTTAAATACCTCTTTTGTACTTCAATAAAAAAATAGTCAATTTGAAATTATTATGAAGAGCAGTCTTAAATGAGGGTTTTTTAAGAGTATTATTGAATTTAAACTTATTTACAAAAATAGACTATAAGTTCGTGTCATGACCACTTGAGTATTAAAATTAAATATAAATTAACTAGAACTAAAATTACTGGTATAGTTTCTACGCTTGAGAGGTCACATTTTTCTAAACAACTTCGGTAAGTTATAAATAATTACTTATTTCTAAATCATATATTACTCCGTATATCACGGTATATGTACGCAGTAATGCAGTATGTAACAAATATTTACTACTGAGATGCGTGAGTGATTCATCACTCAATGAGTCGGACAGTCGGTGTTGAGGATGCATAGCAAAATTGATCATAGTGCAACCAAAACGTTGGAAGAATTTGCCTCTTCATATGAAGTTCAACACCTCGTTTATGTTGGATTAATCATGTCTATTATGATCAACACTAATGTACCAATCTTAATATTTTAAAATTTTTCGTGACAAATAGAAAATACTCCATCCGGTTCTTAATTAAGTTCCTGGTTTGACTTCACACATATTAAGAAATAAATTTGACTTTATTGTGGAGTGCACTGTTTGGACACTGTTTGGCACTGTTTGACACTTTTTTGGTTTAAATCATTTGCCAAATAAAGAAAGGTTTAAAGTAAGAACTTTAATAAGGATCATCCCAAAAAGGAAAATAGGAACTTAATTACGGGACTGAGGGAGCATGGGATTAAGGTTTGATTGTTTTTGTAAATACGAAGTGTGGGATGTGGAATTGTGGATTATGTGGAATGAATATCCTCTGTCAGTCTGTCATGCGACTTGACACAAACAGATGAACAGATTGAAAATATTAAATCTAAATCCAAAAATGGACTCAGACCAAGGATGTGATAAACTGTAAATGCATCATTGCCCTTTTTCATTAAACGGGAGAATTAATTAAGGAAGGGTAACTACAAACTCGTGTACGGAGAGAGAACGATATACTCTTCAATTACAACTCAGAAAGAAAAAAACTTACATTTCAATTTTTTAAAGAAACTAAACACAAAAATTGTAAAATTGGTGTTGGAAAAATGTGTTAAAATTGCTTTAAATGTTCATTTTGGGACAATTTTTTGAGTGGGGTCCACTTCCGATTTGGGTCGGGTCAAATTGGTTTCGAATTGTTCTTGCTTAGAGCTACAATTCGATATATAGTACGCTCAAAACGGAGTCATTTCTGAAAAATGCCTCTGTGTTCTTGCTTGGTTCTTGTTCGTTGGAACTTGGAACTATTCGGTTGAGTGGTCAACGAATAGCTCGTAATCATCATATACTGGGAAACGGTCGTTGCAACGCTCCTAACACCCCGGGAGGCAATGAATACGTTTTAAAGAAATCGTGCGTAGTACGAGCTTTGACTTTTTCTACTTCATCTATTTTCTGTTTTCGTTTAGTCATTTTATTTAATTAACTTTTATTAATTAATTTTCTTTGTTTTCGAAACACGCCCGACAATTAGAACTACTATATAACACCTAACAGTACATTAGAGAACCTCCATACTCAACTATTGTAAGTTATATTTCTTCCAACTTTAATTTGTGTTTTGTTGTTTCAAATGATTGTTGATAAATACGTAGTATATTTGTTTTCTAACGTAACAGTATATTAGTTCTCTATCATTATCCAAAAATACAAATATCGTGAACAATTTTACTTTCTACTTTTTGGGTTCAATCAGTTCAGTAAGAATCCCTATCAAGGCGATCAGGAATTAATCGTAGAACAGTTTAGGCTCTGTTTGCAACCACTTGTGCTTAAATAAAAGTACTTTTTGGGAAAAAGTGATTAGTAGTAAAAGTTGGTAGTGTTTGATAAAATAAGTGCTTTTTGTGTAATAGAAAAAGTGAAAAGTAGATTCTACACGAAAACCGAGAAAGTAAAAGTTGGTATTGTTTGGTAAAATAAGTGTTTTTTTCTTAAAAAAAAAAGCCAAAAGCACTTAAAATAATAGTTTGCAAACAAGCCCTTAGAGTGGAAGTGACCTTGAAACATACGGAGTAATATTTTCCATTTAATGAATTAATTAAATGAAAACAGTGGGAAAAAAGAAAGTTAGGGGGAAATGAAAACCTAAGTAAATACATTGATCTTTTTTGGCCTCTTACAAAAGAAACGAACCCGAGAATAGTTTCCTACCCCAAACTACCGTTTCAGATAGCTGATTGCAGGCATATAACTGGATTGGTTTTCTGTGACACCGTGATAAACGTGAATGCATACTTCTGTGATCCATGACCATTCTATGCGATAGTATATTACTCCTTACTAAGATCATTTCCTGGAACTCTATTTGCTTTAGCCAACTCCTGAATTGCCTGAAATGAAATACAATTTCAAAATAATGGCTTAGCATAAGATTACATGAACACAAAAGCAGCATCTTTCCCAGGTTTTAGCTGTCTTTAGCGGGCATTCGCTGCTTCCAATGAGGAGTCATAGCTGATTGATTTGCTTGATTGATTTTATTCTGATCTATTATTAAAACATCCATTTGTTAATCTATTTTAGAAGTGTTTTGCTAGGGTTTCTCTTTCATTTTAGGGTTTTCCACATTCATATACATGTATGTAACCCCTATTATAAAAGGGAGCTTTCTACACTAATAACATGTCCAAGAAACAGTTGAGAAGAAATCAAGAAGAAATGGAAAACTCTTAATTCAAAGGAGAAGAAAAATTCTCCAAATTTCCACCGCCCCTTTTTAATTTATTCCAGTGACGCAACGAACCCGGTACACAACAGATTACTCTCCGTGGAATCTGATTCTAATTTTCTCCATGAGAATCATTTTCCTTCTCCAAGAGGAAAACAATTTGATTTGACAACTCACTTTCTTCAGACAGTCGGTGGAAGATCAAGCGGGTTTCCATTTCACAAGTGACCCTTCACATGTGTTATTCATGTGACCAACAAAATTAAATACAACACTTCCCACCAGCCACTACGAACAGACCCTTCAAACAGTCATGAAATATAAGCATTTTGAGAGAGACAGCCAAAATGGAATTAGCAGTGCAGGTGACAGCTGCATAAAGGAAAAGGTATCTAATTCCTCAGTCAAATGGGCTGATAGAGACGCCTTACGTAGAACTTCCTCACTTAAATATTTCCAATAAATATTATGCATTATAACTGATGGTGGTAAAGGTGAAGTGCAAAGTTCGCATAATACCTAGAGCTGAGCCGGGTCTGGACACTGAACTAGAATTAACTGTCAGTTAGTTTAAACGGGTAGACCGGTACATCTTTTCACATCATAGTAGACAAACTGAGCTCGCTACATTTTAATTGAACCTGTGTGGCCTCAGTAAGTCAGTATTTGGTTCCTATAGTTTAAAAAAATCTAAAATCATCGTTAAAAAACTCTAATAAGATGTATTCTTGAAGTAAAATTTATTACGGAATGATTAATTATAGAAAATTTCATGGTCTCTAAAGTCTTATGAACATTTACTTTATTCATTCAATTAATGGGGAATTACAATTATCCTCACTCGTCTTTTACGCTCAATAAAATGGATCATTATTATGCAATCTCTTCCCTGGAATATAATAATTTAACAGTCCAGTATGGGTACCCGTTTTTCTAGAATATTTACCATTCGCTCCCACCTTAAAATATTTACTACCCTCCCCCTCCCTGCTAGACTCTTCCAACTAAAACCAATCCAATATTTGACCCTGACCTCAATTACCCGTGCCGATTCCTGTGTGTGCACCCCTAATAGGACCTGGTGAAAGCAAATGGGACTGGAGAATATATGGTGTGATTGAAAATTGTAATGTTGGCTTGGAACTCGGAAGGGATAAATGTGATACACTGTGTTTGACTGGCTGCTGGATGGTCTTACTCTGAGCTGTAGACCCCACCACCCCCACCTCTTCCTGTCCCCTTTCCCTTTACAACGCAACACATAAATTTTGGCCTTGATTGCACATCCACTTTTCAATAAAGAGACACATGCAGTATCAAAGCTAAGGCGCCATCCTAAAAAGACTCCCACTCAAATTCTTCCAAAAGAATTTGGGAAGCCTCATGCCTGGCTCCAGTAATAAACGTGCTATATTTATAGTATTTCGCTTCATGATGAGAGAGCATGGCTTCTTCTTAGGTATAAAAGAGTTATGAAATAGGAATGTAATTCCAATATCACATGCACAAAAACAATATGTGAATGACTTCATGCATAGAAATGTTATTCCATCCATGAGAAGACACATGCATGAAGAACAGAAATCTTGAAGGAAACATGAAGGGAAATCTGTTGCTCCAAGTGGTTATTTTCTGATTATAAAAGTTATAGCATATTTGCATCTCTGGCTTGGGTGTTGTTGTTGTGGGCTCATGTAATATGAAGTATATAATTCCCCTAGTAGTCAAGTTCTGATAAAGACCCGTGAATTTACTCTCAAAGCCATACCTAATGTGGCAATAAATCCCAATAATGTGTTTCTCAGATAGGCTCTAACTATACAGTGCATTAACAATTACTTTCACAGCTGACAAGTGACAAACTGACAACTATTAAGCTCCCTTTGGTAACTCACTTTTAGTAGTACCGGTGACAGGTGCTGTTGCCAACCGTCATCCCTGAGTTTGGCTTAACTTTCTTTTATAATTAGCATTAGCATATAAAAGCTTAACGCGCAACACCATGCTTATGGTTAGAACCTAAATGATTTACCCAAGCACCTAAGGACTCCTCTGGGGAAGTCTTGTGGTGCTCCACAATTTACCAAAGGGAGATTCTTTTTACAAAATATATACCTTTGGATCATAACTTCCGGCTCACTTGTTCTTAATTCTCCTAAGTTAGTAAATCTACTATAAATAACGAATATAAATCTCATCACCAAACCTGTTTTACCAAACATATCAATTTCTAATGGTATAGCTACTGTCAGCTTTTCACCTCACAACTTCAATCCCACCCTATTGGGAAAGAATACCTAGCCCCAATGAATTGGAGTGGTGGAATGAAAGGTAGGTAACTAACCAACGTTTGAAGAGGCGGGGCTTCAAAATAAATGGAGCGAATAGACATTTTAGCGATCTCGGAGATGGCAGTCTCTCGCACTTCAGGCTCATCGCTGGTTAACTCCTCATAAGCCGCCTCGAAGGCCTGCTGCCAGAACTTGGGCAATCTGATCCGACGACCATTAGTGTAGACATCCCACATGTGCTTTACCATCTTCTCTCTCTCCTCCATTTCCTGTCAAATAGAAGATATTTTTTCCGCCCCAATATTAATCCCACTAGCTTCAATAATTCATGAATTCTAATCAAATAGTATTCCAGAAGGTTTAGTGATGACACTCACGAGGACGTCTAGATCGTCGTAAAGAGGAATGTCGAATTCGTCTGAGAAACGGTTTAGATTCCCGGCGGACCACCGGAGAGTGACTGTGCCGGTGAATATCGACCAGAAGGCAAGCAGAAGAATAGCCGCCAAAGCCCAGAACTTGTATCGTCCCCGACCGAAGAGAGACGAATTCTCCTTCTCCTTCCTCGAATGCACGGAAGTAAGCGCCGATGATGCCGAATACGCCGTTGGAGCTGACATCGGCAACGCGCTATCATCCTTCATCTCCGAAAGCTTCAAATCCAACAAACTAAATACAAGAGTTAAAATTGAATTCTATTCTGCTCCTCTGCTTACAGGATTACTTGATTCTTCCCATTGCGGAATAAGCCGGAGATGATGTATACCTTTTGCCTAATGTGCGATTTTCAGTCTGAGATGAGGTGAAGGAGGCGATCTAGAGAGAGAGCCGAAGATGATTTGCGGGTCACCGACTCTAGCTAAATGACTTTGGGTAATTCTATTCACATCCACATTTTTACTAAATACAATCACAAATTTTTCATAATTCCATTCATGTCCTTAATATATATAATACCCTAACTTAATATAGCCTCTCGTAGCAAATCACGTCTGTGTAGTCTGCTCCGTCCGGTCTTATACAATATAGAAATCCAATATTGAACTCTGAAATGATCAATGGCTTCCATCTTTTTTCCCATCTATTTTCTCAAGAATCATGCAAAATTTCCGATAATATTGGTTGGATTTGTAATCGTCAGTTGATTCTTCCTTCCATGAATTGAAATAACGTACAGACATGCAATAATGTTTCGATTCCAAATTCTTCCGCTTGTTTTTGAAATTAAGTTTTAATTTATTATAGTTTTTAAATCAAGGCGCTTGATTCACATACGATAAGTTAGGTTCATCGCACAGTCTCAGGTATCTATTATTTACAGCCCCAGTACAGTTCTTAAACGTTGGAGAGGTGATGACATATGCTGATGTAATGATGGAGGCTCATCGAAGACATGAGGAAGACATTAAGGACATAATAGGAATCATGGAAAATATGGGATTGTATTTAGTAAAAATGAGACTGTAAATAGAATTGCCCATGACTTTTGGGCTTGATCCAAGTCAAAGCACATCCTAAATCACTACAGACCCAATTAGCAATTGGAATTACTACGCGGTATTAATTAATGGGTTTGCGAGTAAAACTCTGAATATTGTGTCACGCCGGATATTGGGCATGACCGTTTGAATTTAGAGGGACCGAATAATAATTGTTCTCATTTAGTTGTCTAGGTCCTATGCAAGTTAAAGTTGACTCAATTTTTGCTATGTGTGTTAGACTTTATGGATAGTTGGAAACAAAATTCTTCTTCTGCACAACATTTATACACATTTTGCACACATTTATATGTAATTGTCTGTGCATAAAGACAATGTTGCAGGAATCGTTTTTGTACATAGGCAACCAGGGAATGTACACATTGTCTGCGTGCACAGATAATTACTTACAATGTGCATCAAATTTGTACAAATTTCATGTACAAATAGCTTTTTAATGTTTGATTTGAAGGGCTGAAACTAGGAAGGAAATAATCTTCCCTCTTGTTTGTGTGATTGAATTACGCGAATGTTATGCTAGCTCACAAATAAGTAAAGTGTAGTAGTTTTAATGAAATGTTCGATCCAAGGCATTATTTCATAACTTATGTATATTTGAATTATTCAATCGTAATCATCTAACTGATCAACGTGGATAAAATGTGGAGTTTTACAAGTACGGTAGAATTTGTCTTGAACTATATCAATGTGTTAGATGTGTTTAGTTTATTTTTTTACCTTCCATTTCCCACCATCATCTTCTTCCTCTCCTTGATCCAACCCAAAATGAAGTGTGGCTGTGTGTAGGGAAAAGGGAAGGGGAAATAATACGGATGTTATAATGTGGGGTTGGAGTGTATTTTTAGTGTAGGTATTTGGATAGATAATTCATTTCGTCATAGAATTCAATCAATTTTGATCCTCTTTAGTGCGCCTAGATGGGTTGTGTACTTGTTTGTGATAGGGGTAGAGGTTTTGAATTGAGTGCTCACATATTCCGGTAAGGAAATAAGAGAAACAAAAAGATTGGTTTATTTCTTTTTTCAAATGGTTTCTGTCTTAGAATTGTATGTTGTTTACATATGCATGCTGATAGAGTATATGAATTCTGACTCCCAAACTATCAATTATTGGGCTTGGACAGTGGCCCATGTAGATCCAGCAGAGAACACTTATATTGTTGTATAGTTTACACCTCCAATGTATATAATTCGTACTAGCTTAGCTTTTTATATAGTTGGACCTTTTGGGCCCATATTAGTAGTTTGATCCACTATTTCTCTATTTGTAAACCCCAATCAAACTATTAACTCATTATACACAACTTATCTCCTTCTCCAAATCTTGTTCATCTATCCTAAATTATACAATATGGGTAACGTTTATCCATCAGATGCATTTCACAAGATGGTCAAAATTATGAATACGACAACAAAGGTAATAATACTATAGGAATATTTACTTGAATGGTTTGATTTCCTCCCTTTTGTCGCAATTAATTTCAGGGAAAATTGTCATTTTGGTCTTTGTATTATCATACAAAAATCAATTAAGTCCTCATACTTTAAAAAACCAATCAAATTCTCGAATTTTGAAAAAACGTTCAATTAAGTTAATTAGCAGGTTACATGTCATGTCAGCAGGTCGCCGGCTTACGTGGCACACACGTGACAGTCCATGAGTGCGCCACATCATCGTAATGGCTGACTAGGCCTCCACGTGTGCACCATGTCACAAAAGTCGTTGCTGGCTGGACCTCCGCATCAGGACCGCATGTGTGCCACATCAGCATGTGACTTGATGATGTGGCGGGTAACCTGCTAATGATATCAATTGAACATTTTTTCAATGTCCGAGGATTTGACTGTTTTTTTAAGTGTAAGGACTTAATTGACTTTTTGGTGATAGTACGAGGACTAAATTGACAGTTTTCTCTTAATTTTATTATGTATTTATTTCCATTTTATCAGATACATCTATTGTTTTGAAAGGTTGAGGCGTAACAAGACATGGAGATTAAGCCTTAAAACTTTGAAATCTAAGTGAGAATAGGTGAAATCTTGATAGGAAAAGTCGTCTTAAATTTTTATATTGATAAGTATTACTTCATGGCAACCAACAACCATCTTATATCAAGTAACTACAACATTTCAATTTTCAAAAACTTTTCACTTTTATAACCTCAAACAAAAATGGTGAAATTGACACAAATAATATGTACTTTCACTGGTTTTACAATAATAATCCCAACCGAATGATCTGGCTGATTTATTCAAGTGTGATCTTGTCTAGATTGTCTGGTATGGTAAATTTCTATCGTATGTGTATTTTATAAATGTCCACTGTCGGAGACTGATATAATCTATTCTGGTTTTCTGGTCTATAATCCAATCTAATCTTGTCTTATTTGAAATTACAATCAATCCAATTAAAAACATTATCATAAGGGGAATTCTATTCACAGACACCATTTTACTATATACAATCACATCTGTTTTTTGATAAATCAAAGTAAACCCTCAATTTCATCCTCAACTTCTTTCCTAGTGCCGACTCCCATCTCCTTAATTCCATTCATCTGTTTCTTTTCAACGTCATCTTCTTTCTAGCTACCTACTGAAATCAATAGGTTGAAACACCGGATCACGTTCAAGACAAACAGAAGACACTGACGGCGAAACATGAACAGACTTAACAGAAACAAGCACACAAGAAGAAGAATCAACCATATAAGTTTAAGTCGAATCAAATGTTCAAGAAGGATCGGGAGTCGGCGTTGCTAGGACCAAGAAAGACCAGAGTTGCTGGGAGACAAGTATTGTACAAGGCATAGACTTCCAGCCGAGACACCTGCAATGGGTTTGGGGTAGTCTATCCTTCCTAGAGCTTTGAGTGGACATTAATGACGGACCTTTGAGGTTGAGCAAGAACTGAACCAAGAATTACAGAGGTTGTAAGCTTTCCTTGAGCTACGATGGCGAGTGGAGCGGTGGCGAAGCAACCGGGAGCTGGATGGAGGTAGCAGAACTCGCCCATTGAGCGTTGGTCCTAAGCTCTGTTTGACTTGACCGGGCAACTGGACCACTTTTTTTTTATCTGGAAGGATAATTTGTATCCAGCCAATTTCAATGACGGTTAAGTTTGCAGTTCCTATACGGTACAACCGGCCCACCATGAGCATCATGCTCCATTTCCAAAATGGTGTAGTTTTGCACAATTTAAAAAAAATCGCGTGAACAGTACACACGTGTACAGTAACTTTTTTTTTTTGTCTCAGACTCCCATTAGCATGAATGATGTAACTTGCGTGTAAAGATATGTAACTCGCGTTATTGATCAATGTAACTCAAGCTCATTCGAAATGTAACTTGTCAAAATACATAGTATAAGAAATAAAATATTGACTTCAATGTAAACAATGAAAAAAAGAGTCTAATTGCACAATTGCTTTGGGTAAAATGTGAATGTGTTTTGTTTTTAAAATCATGGCCATAAAAATATTTTTTTAGAAAAGATTATTATTTTTGCTTCAATAGCAGGGGTTGATTTTTTAATGTAACTCGTGTTATTACAAATGTAACTTGCGTTGATAGCAAATGTAACTTAGGTATATACGAAATGTAACTTGTTCAAAAATTGAACAATATTTTTGTGTGTGTTTGAGATATTATAAACATTTATTTCAATGTAAACAATGAAAACTGGATCCTAACAGTTTAATTACTTTTTTTATAAATATTGAATATGTTTTTTAATATTAGGGCAATAAAAATGATATAGTCAGGGTTTATTCCGTGGTGTAACTCGCATACATTAAAATGTAACTCGCGCATATTAAGATGTAACTCGCGTACATTAAGATTTAAGTTGCGCAGAAGAAGATGTAATTTCAAGATATATTATCAAATGTAACTTGAAGAATCAAAATAAACAATCCCAATGTCTTAAAAACCTCTAAAAACATACTCCCTCCGTATTTTAAAGTTCCATACACTTTCCATTTTGGGATGTATTTAAAAGTTCAACACACTTTCTCCTTTTGGT